TTCTTTCAAGCTTATTATTTTACTATAATTGGTTATTTCTATTTATGTCAATTATTAATTTCTTTGACAATAAGGAAAAAATGTTATTGATGATTTCATTGAAAATAAGGAAAAATATATATGTTCAACGGCTTTCGTGATCATATTGGAGGCCCACAGATTGAAAAATGATAAGATGAAAAGTCGCTTTTGCCATAGTACACCCCAATACAATTCTTTGAAAGAAAATATTACTTCTGTCGTTTAGACATGCAGACGATGGAATGGATTGCACCTTGCCGTGCGTCCGACAGTATGAAGCGATCCACACAATTGACCGCGCGTCTGATTTATAGGACTTAATATTTTCCATTTCCCCAGGCTATCTTGGGGAAAAACTATTAAATTATACGTAATATGTATGTATGGGGAGTACACTGTAGTTTATGTGAAAATATTATTAGTTGTTTGTAGATACGTATTATGTATGTAGCATTTTTTTCTAATTTAGAGGTAATATTTTGAAATATGAAATTTTGAACATTAAAATTATATGTTAGCTAGGTGTAAATAAGTCGAGCTTGAGTACATGGATATGCGGCATAGCCGTCTTCTTCTTTAGCAAGGCATATGGGGAGCTTCACCGTCAGATTCCCATAAAAAAAAGTCTCTTCAATGTTATGTGGCATGGACTAGCTACAAAGTTTTTCTCATTCCACAACTCCTCTTGATTTTTGAAAGTGAGCTAGCTATAAGGTTTTTCTCATTTCACAAAATCAAAATATCTCAACCTCTCTAATGAGGGTTGGAAATACCAAAGCAAGGTGAAATTGAGGTTCTGACTCATTAGGATTTAGGTCTAGGTTTGCAACGGGAAATACTCGACTTTCAAAGGATTTGGCCACTTATATACTTCCTAACCTAGGGCTTCCTCTAGGAAATAAACGACCAATTGTTGAACTTATTTTGAGGTCTTATTTTCCCTTTCCTAGATATCTTAGGATCTAGCCTTAGAATTTCAAATTTATCTATTTTGACTCTCCTAGAGGACTAGACTGGGATCTACAAAACTTAGAAATTCGAACTACTTCTTCAGTTTTTTCCCCTTTGCTGAGTTGAGCTTTACTTTTTGATGGCTCAATTTTTGCCCATCTTACTGGGCTCGGTTTTGCTTGGTGATGGATCGATTTTGCCCCTTTGTTGAGCTCGATTTTGCTTGTTGATTGATGGATTTCTGTGTTGTACTGAGAATTTATCTCTTGCTGCCCTCTCTACTAATCACTTTTCTTATTTATGAAGAATAATTAGACGGTATATCCATTTGTTCAATATTGTTATGAAGATTGAAATGCCAAGTTCTTTAGGCGAATTGACCCCAATGTAGTGCCCCTTTTGATATCTGTTGGAGAGCTACAGTTAGTATCTTTTAGTTAAAAAAAATAATTTATAGCAATTTTTCTTTGGTCATCTGATTTAAATTTGGGAATTGCAAAAGCTTATCTTGGAGATTTATACTTTTCGCTCCCATCATACTTGAATGAATGAACCTTTAATAAAAAAAAAAGCATATGAAACATTGAGGTGACCTATAAGTTTGAGATGCGGGGCAACAAACAATGATGCAAAGAATCATTTATCAGCTTTTCCTATAGCTGAAAATATAAAAATTGATATTCAATTAGTGAGATGCCCTTTCACTTCCTTAAGTCGTCGGTAGCCATGACCCTTCCTCAAAAGGCTTGAGAATTTGGTAGTTGGAAAAGAAAAGATACACAATAAACACCACACAAATATTACGCTTGCAAAAAAATAGATACTATATCCACAAAATGACAAATACCACGATACACAATAGGCACTACACAATAGATATTACACATCACACCCTACACCTG